AGTACAGCTCAGATTTCTTACAACTTCTAACTATTTTTAATTTATTAGTTACAAGCACAATTGTATTATAATGTCTAAATATATATAACTACACTGAAACAACATATATTAATACAAAATATTGAATTCGTTACTTAATATAAAAACGGATATAACAAAAGGAACCAAAAACAAGGATCAATAGAAACATGTTGATTCGACATTACAATCGATTATATATTGTTAATAAATTTAATTTCGAGTATGCAAATTATTTTTTGCATTAATTTTTGTAACAAATCAGTAGATCGTATGTGCCTTTAGTAGCTATTTTTATTTCTTCGAAAAAATTTCTCCGAAACATTTGAAATTCATTCACACGTTCTCGATGTATCAGATACAGCGAAACGAAGACGTTCTTGGCTAAAAATATCTCATCAATGTTTCTGATGAAAGAAATGATTGAAGTCTATCACGATACTGGTTTACTTCAACGATTTTCAATCGTTAAGCCACCAAAGACTCAGTCACGATCTCCGATTCGAAAATCGTCAGGATCATTAACGAGTCGGCCACTACCGCCATTGCATAAGGACTCTATAAAAAGATTCATGGTAAGATGAACGTTCCGATATTTGATCTGTGTGGCGATACTTTCGACATATCGATACGTATCGCGTGTGGCATACTATCTATCTTTTTATTCATCGAATATATCCATCTTCGCTGACGCTTAAGATATATTTTTTTTTCTTTTATCTTAATACGAAACGCTTACTTACTTATTTCGATCAAGTTATGATTTATTTTTATATTCGTCATCCATAATGTTATTTTGTAATGTATTAGAGTAATAATGAAAAATTCTCGGGATTTTTTTCATTTCATTTTTCTTTTTTTTCCTTTTTTCTTTAACTTTAAGATGCGTTTCATTTTAAGCATTCAATTTATATCTTATCACCATCTATGAACAAAACCGGGAACTTCATTTTATGATAACAAATTATAATTAGTAATAATTCGTAAAGAATTATTTGATTCACTTGTAAATCGTTTTCTTCTTCTAAATAACTTTAAAAATCTAAAATTAACCATCACTCTATTTCGTTAAGGTAACATAAAAGCAACGAAAGGAAGTCAATTTGGAGATCGATTCCCTCCTTGATGGTATCGACTTCTACACGTCGATCATGCGTCGGTCTGCTTCGAGGAATTGAATCAGGATCTCTTTGAGAGCATGCTTGAACCGGTAGAGTAGGCCCCGTGTGATGTGAAAGATAGATAAAGGGCAACTCAAGAAATATTTTTTTTTTTTATATATAAATCATTTTATTTAGTGGATATAGATATACTTAGGTATACGTATATATTTAAAAATATTTTCAATTTTTTTTCAAATACATTTTTCATGTCATCCTTTTGAAAGTCATATTCTCATGATACAAAATTCCATTCACATTTTTAAAAGATTTTCCCCTCCTCACTTCCCTCCAAAAATAAGATTTTTGTAAAAGAAAAACTAGACGTGAAAGGACATAGCAAAATATCTTTGATAAGACGTTCCTTTTATAATGATTACTAATAATTCTCCCTTTTTATAGTAATGTTTTACTAAAAAAGATATTACTTCAAACGGTTTACTCTAATGAAAACATGGCATTTTGCAATAAAAAGAGAGTTGCTATAGAATGCAAGCCTGAAAAATATCGAGTCACGTTCGAGCATAAGAATATCGATGTCGAGCCACACTCGACATAGGAATACCTGTGAATAAAATTAGAAGTTTCATTTGAATAGAACTGTTTCCGCTTAAATAAAGAATAATACGAGAAGAACGTAATGTAAAAGGAATTTAAAAAGCTTCTAAGTATTTATTCCAAAAAAAAGGAAACGATTATTTATTTTTTTACCTTATCGAAAATTATATATATATATATATATATATATATTTTTTTTTTTTATTCTACAATACAAAATATGGAAGTCTGTTAATAATGTTCTTATGAAATATGTGACAATCCCCAAGGAGAGTTTATCTAGAAGGAAAAAAGATGTGTTTAATTTAAAAAATTTGAAGACATTTAAAAAACATTTAGTGTTATATAGAAACTTTTAAGAAAAGTTAGGACGTCAAAAGTTTGGTTTGCGGAGCGAATTGCTCCTTATTCCCCTACTTTTTCTTTTATTTCTCCTTAGTGAATTCTTGGTCTCACAATAACAACACTCTCTAAAGCTTATTCACTGTCGTTACATTGCCACAGCTAGGGTATTACTATGTTTCATCATCTACACATGAAGAATATATATATGTGTGTGTGTGTGTGTGTGTAGGTATTACGTTTATGTGAATTAGTAACATCTGAAAACGCTGGAGGAGTAAGCATACTCGAATATAGCAGTAGTAGGAGAGAACCATTTCTTCTCCAACGAAAAGTTTTCACGTCTCTGACTTATATATAAGTTCTGAAAATATCTTAGCCGTGAGGTTAGGGTACTTGACTACAACTCTGGCGGACATGGGTTCTCTTTTTGAATCCTGGCCGAAGAAAGAAATTTTATTTCAGAAATCCAAGCGAGCTCTTGGACGTTGATCGCTCGGATGGATGTCCGAGGTTCTTCAAAGTCCTAAGAGACTTCGAAAATATTGGGCTCCAACCGGGTGGTGGTGACCGACGATCGGGGAATACATATCCCCTACCGGTAGGAAGAAATTTTTGCATTTTCTTGAACGACCGACGATCGAGTCAAGTCAGAGAAAAGATTTTTATTTTATATTCAGAAGTTTTGAAATATTCTATAGCTCGACGAAAAATAAAAAAGGATAAGAAAGAAAGCAGAGTAAACAAAAAAGGAAAAAAAATTTGTTTTAATAAAAAAATACATGAGGGGGACTATTCAAAATTTAAGTTCATTAAAAACAAATTCTATAAGACTTTAAAACCATAATACACACACACACACACACATGCAAGCTTTTATATTATCCTACAAATTTAAATCATTATTACTTCGTAATCGTACATTCACTATAAATTACACAACATAACAAATTTAATATCAGATTACGTTTCGATGATATCACGGATTTCGAATCAACTTCTTGTATTCTTGAAAAACATAAAATAAGTATATACTTATATCAGGAACGAAAACAGAACGAGTTTCACATTTGATCCATCGACCTTTTTTCACGATTACCGATCAGTAATTAAAAGAGCGAGTCCCATACCAGCTTTGGAAGCGTTAATAAAGCGTTACTGAGGAGCCGATATTAGAGATAAGAAAACAATTCCGTAAAGGAACGAGTCCGCGGCGATCTGCGTCGAGATGCGATCGGTAAGAAGATGAGGAAGAAATGAAAGAGAGAGAGAGAGAGAGAGAGAGAGAGAGAGAGGGAAAGAGAGAAATAGAAAAGGAAAAAGATAAGATGGAAACGCCACTCGCTAAGAGATAGAAGTAGAGAGAGAGAGAGAGATCGAAGACGTAAGAGGAAGGACAAGGAATAGGTAGAATGTAGATGGGGGTGAGTGGTAGGAAGGGGTTAGGGAAGAGATCCTTTCCAGGCGATCCTCCGTGTCTCGAGATTCCTTTTCTGCCTGCTGCCATCGGTGTACGCGAGTCGGACGGGGTTCTATTGGAATTGTCAGACACTCCGAATAAGCATCCGGATGCCGGTGAAATGGGAGGAGGAGAAACGAAAGGTTTTGCTGCGGTGATGCTGCTGGCTTGTGAAGGTTGAGGAGGTAGAAGAAGGAAGTAAGAAGAGAAAGAAAGGAACGGGAAAAGGACGTAGAAAAGAAAACGAAAACACTAAGAAAGAGAGGTGGATATGGGATGGATGGGGATTGCAATGACACGAGCATATACGCGCATACAAGCCATCCTAGATAGGAACTAACTTGTCTCTTACCACTAGCGTTTCTTTTTTTTTTCTTTTCTCATACCATTATATCCCTTTCTCTCCCTTTTCTCTTTTACCTCGGTATACGTTTGACATCGACGCCAACGGCATCTTGAATGTCTTTGCATTAGAGAAATCGGTAAGAAGGGAGAACAAAATAACGATAACCAACGACAAGAGGAGACGTCTCAGCTGCCTGGTAGGATATCGAAGGGAATGGTGAACGAAGCGGAAAGATATCGTCGAGGAAGTATGGGAAATAGAAGAAGAGAATCGCTACTAAAAACGATCTCGAGTTTCATTGGTTTAACACGAAAAGTAGGTACTATCGCGGTGGATAAGATCAAGGGAAAGTTTCCGGATTTCCGATAGCGTCTATATAGAAACGTATCAGAGATAAGTGTTTATCAGAGATTATCGAGTGAATGGATAATAATATTCAATCAATAATACGAGATACAATTTAACGAGTACGAGAATTGTATCGTCCATTTTCTTTTTATTTAGAATTTCTGTCTTTTTTAATTTTCCATCGTAAATCTATGGAAATTTGTAAATTTATTATGTACTAACAAAATGTTTTAATGTTCACATGTTCCTTGTTAATCTTATTTATATTGTTCCTAATTGCTTTTGTATATATATATATTATTAAGTTAATCCTGATTAATTTCAATAAACGTAGTCTTTTTTTCTCGATCGATACATTACTTATATATGATATAATAGATTGGATATTTTTTCCAAGGAAACTATTTTACCAACAGTTGATACATAGCGAAAATTATAAGTAGTTTTTATATATTGAGGTTTCCAAGTAATTTATCATCGTAAAGTGCCTTATATAATAATATTTCATTTTAACATTATATAGATATGCTCACTTACTTACACATAATTGATAAAGATATTGAATCGTTAGATATAAAAGTTATTGATCATGATGATAAAATACTCAGTCGATAAGAGTAATTGTGAAAGTTTCTTCTGATAAAATTGTAACTTTTCATTATGAATTATTGATAAGTCAACATTGTTATTTAACGAGGAGGTGCAGTTTCTTTTTTTTCTTTTTTTTTCAGATAATTATAAAAAATTCACCAAATAAATTCGCAAGTAATAATTTTCAACATGTTATTTATTTCAAGCGAATTTGAGATAGGTAATTATCGTAATGATTCATTCCATAATACATTCGTATGCGATAATATTGTCAAATTAAACGACGTCCTAACGTAGTCGCTTACAATTGAGTGACGCAAGTGTATTGTGTACGTATAAACTGGTTATGAATATTCGCATCACGCAGAAGAATAATGTTTAATAATATGTACACAGTGAAAATGTAAAATTAATATTAATGACCTTAGAAACAATATAAACCTACGAATTAATGGAACGTTTCTTCTCGTAAAAAATAGATTTCCAGAGCACCATGTTTCGGATAATTTGTTATTTACAATTCTTATAGCTGCGCCGTACCATGGCGTTATAGGGGTAAGAAGATTTTTCATCTTAATGCAACTTACTTCGTCTTTTTCTTCTTCTTCATCCTCACATTTCTTCAAATCGAAGATACGAGCTATCATCATTCTCTCTCTACCCCCCTCTCTCTCTCTCTCTCTTTTCTTTTTTTTCTTTTTTTTTTAATCGGTTAATGGCGAGATACTGCAGAATATTCTAATAACATGAAATTGCAAAAAAATATCGAGAAACAAACAAGGAACAGAAACTGACTATTATGTCGGAAAATTTTATGCCCTGTGTTCAATCTTCGACGTTTTGAAAAAAGAAAATAAACAAATAAAAATTAAAGAAAAAAAAAACACCAAATGAACGAACAAACAAAGAAACAAAAAAAAAAATATCGCATTCCTGTATTGTTTGCGTTAAAACTTTTATAAATCGGAGTTTATAAAGAGAATATCTATGATGACGAGATAGGACTCCATCTCGGGATCTTTGAGTCTTCGGTAAATATTTCATTAACGAAGCTCAAAAAACCGGAGGATTTCCTTGATTTCCTTCGACAAATTTATTTCTCCGTATAATCTCTTCCCCGTTTTCGTATTAATTTGAGGATGACCACAAAACGAAATCGATAATGGAGAAGATGAATGGACCGATATTTAAAATCAAAACAAACAGAAATGTCTATTATGTCTGCGATCTAGCAATGAACGAGGCATAAAATTTTTCTCGATAACACCGTTACACCATGGAGGCTCGAAATCTATTCGCGCGTTAACAACACACTTCTTTTCGAGAGTCCTTGGTCCGGTACTATAGAATAAGTAAAATCACAAGCGTCATAGGGATCCACGTGGAACCCCGTGGTTAGAACGAAATGTAAAAAATAGTACTTTTTGTATAGGCATCTTGTATGCGTGTACGTGTCTGTGTGTGTGTGTGTGTGTGTGTGGATAAGTGTATATGTCTGTATTTATGAACGCAAACTCGTGTATATAATTTCGATAATACGGTAGTATTATGTCCTGTGTATGCGCTTATGTACTAAAAATCTATATAATATATATATGTACATGTACAACGTCGCTTTATCTTTAAAGATACAACGTCGAAACGAGAAAAAAAAAACGTTTAGCGACGTGGTGCAAAGCGTACGCTCTCCTTATACTCTTATATCACATATTGTATATAAGAAGGCAGCACGGGTTATAGCATATTCATTTTCTTTCTTCCTTTCTTTTTTTGTTTCTTTTTGTTTTTTTTTTTTTCGTTTTCTCGTTTTTTTCTTCCCTTTCAAACGTCTCGCTTCTTCGTGAAACATACATACGCGAAATGTTAATGCTTACACCGAGCAACGTGTAAAAGATTCGAGCGTGTCGACGATACCTGCTTAGATATTTTTTTTTGACTTTTTAATTCAGTATAGTCAATATCTCGTTTATATCGCTCTACATTTCGCGTTATCAGACCTTCCGAGGAGTTAAAAAAAAATATTGCACCGAAGTCAAACACTATGTGTTTCGTTCGATCGTATGCCGACGACATATTTCTCCTTTATCGAAAATAATAATCAAATTTCTTTTTTCTACACGATACATATTAGAATTTTGATTGTTTCAATAATTCTCAATTATTTGATAATATAATAGAATTTTTCATAGTTTTATGAATGATCGATTAATACCGTCAATTTTGTACAGGTATACATACATACCGTACAAGCGAAGAAATGTATTCAATCTTTCCATGTGATTTCTTTTTTCTCTTCTTCTTTTTTTCCTTTCTATATGTATATGTATACATATGTTTATATAATATATATATATATATATATATATATATATATATATATATATAAAAATGACAAAACAACGAACAATCATTCGCTTACCTCATACATATTATCGAATGAGGAAGCATTCAATTAAAGGTTTACATTTATATCTTCGCTTCTTTTGCTCTCTATATATATTTACATATCAAGTTTTTCATTTTTTTTCTTTTCTTTTTTTTTCTTCTTTCTCGTATCACTTTCATGCGATTACGATGTCGCTTTCTCCTCGAGGAAAGATCTAAAGAAGAAGCTTCCCGTGTTTCTTTTTTCTCACTCTCTTTCTCTCTCTTTTTTCTTTCCTTTTGTTTATCCTCATGTTACCCTCTAGTAAACTTATCGTTTAATAAAGTTAAGAGAAATATTATTTCTAGAGCGGATCATCAGGGAACACGGGGAGAAGATCGACGTGTAATCTTAAAAAGGACTAGGCGGCACTTGAGCATAGGCACTTGGCTCTCGAAGATCATAGAGATTTAGTCCGAACCTACTAAATTAACAAGGAAAATGTGAAACAATCGCTATATCGTTTTATTCTTGTTATTTTATCAAAGAAAGTTGAAAAAAATTAAATTTACATTCGTCTTTACATTCTTTCTTTTCTTTTCATTTTTTTTTTGCGTTAAATATGACTCCGTTTAATCGTGGATTATCAACTTCGTTAGTTTTATAAAAGTTTTCCTTACTTTTTCACGTGAAAAAGGAATTTCGAAAATTTGTAAAAAGTTATTGTTATCTTTTTTCTTTTTCTTTAGATCAAACATAAACACACACCTATACACATGAAGAATAAGTGTATATATATATACATATATAGTTGTTTGTTTATATATTTATATATCTATGCATTGATAATAAGTGATAGTATGGTAGATCTTTGCTCGTTCACATTGTTTTCCTTATAGGTTCAGACTTCGATTCGACATCGCATAGACGATGAATGAGGAGTCTTGTTTATTAATATTCTCAAGAAATATTCGAGTACTATCGTATCGCGACTTTTAAATACGACCTTTATACTTTACGAATATCTTACTTAAAATATTATTTTAATTTCGTACACGTCTCCATTAAAGTTCATCGTCGTTATTAATCGATTTAATCGATAGCTTCCTTCAATGCAGCCAACTGTTCCTCACCGAGCTTCACTTTGTCTTGAATTTCACGGGTATCCATTATCAGCTTAGCTTTCATGTTGATAAAATGTTGATAATCGGCAAATTCCTCGTCGTTTAGATATTTTGAAAGGATCGCCGAAACGTTGATGCTACGCTTATCGATGTTCGTCTTCAGAACCTTAGCTTCTTCCAACTGATCTATTAGCTTATCTCTCTTGCCCTCCAGTATTTTCTATGATAAAAAAACAAAAGCATTTTAATCCAGCGTGAAAATACATTGAAAATTATATCAGAAGATATTTTGTACAAATCCAATTATTTTCTTTCAGTTTAAAGAGAGATTTTCGGATAACAAATTTTTCATTCTTTAAAGTTTTCATTTTGCTTAATTTTAAGAATAAATTCTCGAGTCGTAGAAAATTATGAATCTCTATAAATTTATTTTAACAGAACTATTAATAATATTTAAATAAATTTTTTTGAACGGAAGACATAAAGACGCTATTAACAAAATATGAAAATAATTTGTTTTATTTTTATCTCTTTCGTTATTTACTTAAAATTTCGTTATTTACTTAAAAGCGTGTCGTCACTCTAGCAATTTACTCGTCGTTGGTATATTGTATAACATGAGTCATGGTTATTTTAAAGATAAAGGTCAACAATAATTGTTTTTTTAAAATAAGTTAATTTATGCAAAGAATACATCTATTAAAAAAGAAAAAGAAAGAAAAAGGGAAAAAAACTGAAACAAAAATCGCTGGTAAAATAGTACAATTTTGTTGATGTAAATTCGATTTTAGATTATGAATAACAATTTTAGACAAAAAATCAAAATAAGCAAGCAAAAAAAAATTAAAACAATAAATATAATATCTGTAAAAGAATGTAAGAAATTCAATGTATTTTTGATAAAGTTAATCGATCGATTAATCTTAGAGATATTCTACATGCCAAATTGAAAAGTGTAATTTTCGAAAAAATGTACGTATAAATGAATGAGGTCAAAAAAACTAGTCCACACATTATCTCTTCGAGATAAGAAAGATAATCAATAAATTGATATTATTATTCAGGAATATATATGAGTTTTGAGATATATTCCGAATATTATTTGTCATTATCGAATTTTGACGTATCTCGATTAAACGGTCTCGATTAAACTTCATGAATTTTTCGAATATCATTTATTAACTTCAAGAGCATATTTGTGAAACTTCATTCATGCAAGAATAAAAAAAAAATTGTTTAATGCAGTCTATACAATTTCATATCTGCTATCGATCATTTACCGTTTTCGAATTATTCCATTAAACGAGTTGTAATTTTATTAATTCTTCCTCTCTTTTTCTCTCTTTATAAATGTAATCTTTAAAATCGTACAAAAATAAAAAATCGGTTCTGCTACGCGAGAATCTCTCCTCAATACCTCGATGATTTAGAATGTATTTATTTAGAAATTTGTATGAAAAAACCTATATATATATATATATATATATATATATATATATATATATATTATATTATTTATCAATAAATATTAAAATGAAAATAATTGGAAAAAATTATATTATAATAATTTTTATTAGAAAAGAAAGTAAATTTAATAAAAAAAAAAAAAAAAAAAGATAAAATAAATAAAAAGATTAAAAGCATTAATACTGTCATGATTTCACGCAATCGCGTGGATTCGAAGATTAATCAAATTCTTTAATATAAAGAAGAAGTAACGGGATAGAAAATTGTAACGGGATAGAAAATGTTGAGGAAAAATGTCGTCCCATTTGACAGGGAAAATACTCACTCTCTCCGCATGATCGGCCGGCATACCATAAAGGGCGTTTTCAGCACGAGCCAATCTTCCACTAAGACTAAGAAGAAGGCTAGTAATCTTGCCAACTTCCTCAACGTGAAGTCGATACTTGGAAGCTTCAGCTGGTCTAGCTGCGGCGGAAATACGCATAGCTACGCGAGCACCAAGGGCTTCATTTATTTCTCCCTCTTCTTTAACAGCCTCTTGTTCAGCCCTTAAGACGATCACTTTCTTGTCCAATCGCATCATGAGCTCTTCCTAAAAATTCAATGATCCCTTTTCTCGTTAATCGACGAGAGAAACGAAATGGAATTTTGAGAAAGCTAAAGTCCTCCGCTTTTGCGGAAGAAGAATCGATCTCGGATCAAGATAAATCTAATGAGCAGAACGTGGGCGACCCATAAACTTTCCCCTATTGTCGTTGCTACCGTCTCTGTCCTTATATTCGTGACGTATAAACGAGAAATTGTCGACTGTATATATATATATATGTATGTACATACATACGTTTAGAAATAATGATGAAAGTCACAGTGATTCCCTTCTATCTCGTTAAGCCAAGTTTCACGGACAGATAGTAGAATATGGATTAAGAATAAAAAGTAATTTAATTACCTTCTTCTTCCTGAGATCCGAATTATCCGCTGTAACGACTGCCGTCGTATCTTCCGATCTTGTAGAATCATCGACACTAACGTCTCGAGAATATCTCGTCAGAAACCTCGCTTTACCTTCGGACGTCGTGAAATATGCCGAAGTGGATGAAAGCGGGCTGCTCGGATCAGCTGACGATGGGGTTACAGGAACCGAAGGTATACTTTCGTGTCTGAAAGAAATAAAGATTACGTTAATCTTTAATTTCTTTTCTTTTTTTTCCTTTCATATAAACGATAAAATTTTTATCCTTCGTTATCCAAGAATCAATATTTGTCCTTCATTATCGGAGTTCGATTATCTCTAAGAGACTATTCCAAAATAAAAATCTTTTTGTGAGTAATCTCGATATTGAGAATAATCAATTGAGAGAATATATACATGAGACGAATGAATCAGCGGTCGACCAAGTGAATCTTTGCTTGGATAAAAAGATAGAGAGAGATAGGAAAAAGAGAGAGAGAAAAAAAAGGTTTATGAGCGGAGATGAAATCATCGTGCGACGTAAAAGGAGCGTGTATCCTTTGAAGTCATCTTTTTTCCTATCCTTTCCTTTTATTTTTTTTTTCTTTTCTTTTTTTTCTCTTTTTTCATATATCAAGCTATGAATTCATCTATGACGCGGAAGCGAATAATTGCGTAATTTTTGCGGCTAGCTTTAATAAAGGAAAAATATGTTATATTAAAAACCAAGTTCTACTCGGAATGCATCTGTTATCGTGCGAACACGTACGATAGTAAATCGTAGACATTGCTCGTTTTTCTTCATGCGAATCTATAAAAGAGGAGAAAGTGATAAAACGAAGGAACGCGTTTGTATCTTGTTAACGCCACGAATGTGCTTTTTCCATCGATGACAAATTGCCGTCGATGCCACTGCATACTATGGCCGATTACGTCTCGTTCGTTTCGCACGTTTCGTGATCGGTGTAAGCTAATGAGAAGCGGAAGAGAATTCCGTAGTACCAAAGTGAGTACATTGAATATTTTATTATCACCTCGAAAGCATTCTAATTTTACTAACGTGAAAGTAACAAACTGAGTTGCGACATATTTCGAAATAACGGGAATCATTTTGTTATTCGAGTTGATTATCATTACTACGAAATGACTATGAGTACAGTTCGAAATAATTTTTTTTTATAAAATTTTGACGTATGATATTATTAAAGTCAGTATAGGGATGACACTATCGGTAATATTCGAGCTACAATGCGATACTTCTCCGAATGTTTCCTTTCCATTTTTGTGCACGTTTGTCGAACTTGGCACGGATACGACAAGCACCACGATTGGCCGCAACGATGCTACCAACTATCCATTCAAGACTGGCAAATAATATGATATCTAGACAACAACCACTGAGTAGTCGCTGCCTGACAATATCATTTATGGTCGCTTACGCAACGATCTTGTGCTCATAGTACTTTCTCCTTAAGCATGCCGGCGGAAGTATTGTCCTCGAATATTCGAGAGAGACAGAGAATGAGAGATAAAAGAGAAAAGAGAGAGAGAGAGAGGGAGAGAGAGAGAGAGAAGAGATGAAATCTTAAAGTACCCAGAAGAGCCGACTTTTTTATCAATTGAAGGAATTAGGTATACCAATGTCTATACATATTTCTTGTTCAATCAATATTAATTCTCTATAATAAAAATTTTTATTCGGATTAAAAACAAACTGATTAAATAATATGAAAATTATAATTCTCATTTATTTCATTACATATTATTTATATATAATTTCCATGTTGATTTTCTTGTAGAATCCATAAAAAAATATAATATAATTAATAAAATGTGTAATTTCAAAGTTACATTGCGTTATAGAGAATTAACTTAGAAAAGCGTTTAGTTAACTATCCGATCGAGAGGATGAAATTTCTGACGATAGGACAGGAAGGAGGAGGAGGAGGAGGAGGAGGAGGGAAACGCTAGAAAGAAATAGAAAGGTTAGAATTCTCATGGAAATCAAGAGAAATCGCATCTCGAATCGACGCTACCGATCGATCATGCTGTGTGCCGTTCGACGAACTCTCGATAAACGACAATTAAATTCCGGCGTTAATGGAGAGTCATTAATGATGCTCGGCAGGAATCCTGCTGTGTCTACGCCCACGTAAACGTCACTCGTCGGTATAATAAAGAATCATTATGTGTGCGTTCGCTTGGCAGGCAAGAGACAGCAGCACGCGATGTTTCCAAGAGCACGTGCCGAGATCGTCTTCTTCCTTTTCCTTTTTATTTCATTGCTTCTGCTTCCTCCTAGCCGCGGGATATCGTGAACACGGAGAAAATTTCCATCCTTGGCACCGTTCCAAAAGAGCGAACGGGAATCGTCCATAGGGTTTATCGTGATCGCTTACGGTGATTAATTACATTCGAATGGTAACGTCGGTCTTTAAAGTTTCTTTAAAAGCGATTGAGTTTAAGAGAGTATCACAAAATGATTCTCTTTATCCAAGTGAAAATCAAAGATCTTAAGAGTTGCCGCGATCTAACGGCAGGATCATTCGAAGTAAGCCTTTGAGCTCATTGAAACTAATTAACGCACTTAACTATGTACCTACTAAGTACGTATGTATGTATCTATGTATATAGATATACATAATTAAGTACAACCGGTCGAACTTTAATAGAAATTCAATGGAAAAAAAATCCTCTGTAGTGAGAGCGTACCGATAAAAAACTGATACCGAATCTTTATTAGCAGTGTAAAAGATACATTCCATTTATATATACAGTAACACCTAATGTTCCTATCACGATGTCCATAAATTTTCTACCGCTAATTGCGAAAGGAGAATAAAATTTCTTCAACTAATTTGATTAGCAATTGTGTTACTTCCTTTATACAGACATACATACGCATACACTACTATTACTACTATTACTCTTATTATCATTATCATTATATTATTATTATTGTTATCTAATATTGTTGTAGTTCGAACAGATTCAAGGATCAATCCTCACTCTTCAATGATCATGTTATATCTTGTAAATAGATATATTACTATTATTGTGCTGACAACATCAAAATTATAATAAATCAATATATTGATTGAAAACAAAATTGATCACGTTTAAATCTATGAAAACATTCAACAAAAATTATTTTCACTACAGAGACATTCTTATATAGCCGAGTTCGTAACATTAAAAGGAAAAATAAGTCAGCGTACGTAAGTCATATACGTAAGTACATAGACGTAAGTACATACGTATACGTAGAGATCGCAACTAGTCACGTTTAAATTTAGAAACAAGTACGAAGAAAACTTCTTACTTTCAGGAATCGATCATGTCCGTTGATAAACATCGATGGAAAAAGAAACAATATCTACGATATAATTGCGATTGTAATTTATGAAGAATTTGTTCTTTCGAAATTTATTAGAGAAATTATATACTTAAGATAATTACGATAAATAACTCACTTTTTCTCATCGTCATCTGCATTTACGACGCAGGAGGCCATCGACTCCTCAAGGGAGAGTCGCCGCCTCGGTCTTGACTGCAAGGTCGCTTCCACCCTAAAGAGACCGGAAACGTAGTCGGTGGGTTTCTTGTGCTCCGGCACTGGAACTGATAAGAAAAGAACAAAAAAAAAAAAAAAAAAAGAAAGAAAAAAAATTAGTTGAGTCGAGCGAACAGTCAGCTTGAAATAAGGGAAGGGAGAAGGTCTCGCTTCGCGCTCTCGCTCCCTTTGTTCGTTCAGTGTTTCACGCTCGAGGAGTTTACGCGCGTACCGCATAGAAGCCATAATGCGACGGGGACTGTTGCATCTAGTATCACGAGTACGAGTGCGAACACGCAAGAAAGAAAAATAGAGAGAGAGAGAGAAAGAGCAATGACGTATAATTGAATAACGCGACCGGGGTCGTTGATTCGTTTAACGCTTATTAAAATAAAGGGTCGTCGCTCTGGTGCTACTAATACTACGCGTCATATTCCCCCTGCCCTCTCCCCTCCTCCCTTATCACTTACTCGCTCTAACGCGTAGTACACGTGTACGAAGCTCGATCAATTATTCTACATACTATATATATATATATATATATATATATATATATATATATATATATATAACAACATAATACGGTATGCATACATTATCGAATGAAAATATGATAAGCTAATCAAATTTCTTAAGTTTCAATGATAGGTTCAAATAATATTTTAAATAATATCGATTTTATTATATTGAAAAGACTATGGACCAAGATTATATAGCCGATATGTATTTGTTAAATCTTCGATATAAACAAATCTATTTGGTTACATCTTATAAAGTTAGTTGTAATTGTTATTTAAAATTGAAATTGTTCATAAGGATGTAATAAATTAATCGAAGATTCAAATAATACTTTGCATTGAAAACGCGTAAATGTTCAAAAATTAAACGAAGTAAAAAAAATTATCTATAATTTATTGAAAAGTGTGGAAAAAAAAATAACACAACTACGACTTGACCTTCGTTATTATCTTTCGACGATAAACGCAAAGTTATACGAATAACATTGAAAGCAATAAAGAAGCATTGACGTAACGCGTAGGTAGATTATACCGGAACCGAACAAAGGAAATTATTACGAGCACCGTAGATTAATCGAGTTAACTTCCATAAGATTTGTATGGGTAAGACGAGAATAGAATTTGCTCGAAATAAGTTTTACCTAGAATGGGGACCAATTTGTCGTTTGGACTTAGTTGACTGGCTAGATCTCTGCTGAGTTCTTCGCACTCAATCTCCTCCGGTAATTTTTTTCTCGGTTCCGGTAGAAGAGGTTCCTCCTGTTTGACAATGTTTTGCTCTGCGGTTTGCTCCATGAGATCGGTCTGTGATGCCGCGTCACTTGTAGCAGCGTTAACTCTAAGAACTACTTCGGTACGCTGTACCAAAGTCAAGCCTTCGATGCCAGGTTGTGGAGAGACGCAAGGTGAAGTGGTTGATGATGAAGGTTTCTTATCCTGTTCATCGACAGGTGAGTTTCTAGGTGAGGACGAGGTGGAGGATTTGGATACACTTGAGATCGAGGAGGATGATGATGAGGACGAAGACGAAGACGAAGACGAAGAAGAAGACGAAGACGAAGAGGAATTCGAAGAGAATCTACTTCCCGTCGATCTTGATTTTGAACTACCGGACGATCTCTCCGTTCTTTCTGTTCTAGGATTCTCCGTTTCTCTCGTTTGGCACGAACGCTGATTCAATGATTGACCAGCAGAATTGGATCCGTTCCAAGAGACTGTACTATCCGTTTGAGTTGGACTCGAAACTTTCCTTTGATCGGTGGAACCTTCTTCTCTAGTTGGGGAATTCGGTGTACTCTTGGTTGGCGTTCCATAAGTTAAGATTCGAGGAGATGACGTGGGATCGGTCGATCTACCGGAAGAGGAGGAGCTCGAACAGCTTCCGGATCTTCGTGGGATTGCTCCTCTTGGACTTCCTCTTTCCGGAGATCTTGGTGGTGAACTACTTGGCGGTGGTGGTTTGTCATGATGAGACATCGATTCTACCGTTTTCTGAACGACAACATTTTCCTGTCCTCTCGACCAGCAATTACCTGTCATGTTGGTAATCGTAGTAGTCATCGAGGAGGTCGTCGTGCTTACCGTGTACGAGCACATTGTACCGGTCGACGTACTTCCTCCATTGGATCGTTTCTCATTCCTACGGTTCAGTAATTCGATATTTTGCGAGGTCATTTCGATCGTTGCACTTCTTTCGCGGAAGAAATCCTCACCGGCTGCTGGTTGAGAACCACTTTCGACATTACGAAGCTGTTTCTAGAAAAACGAAACAAAAGTACATTCTAGTATAATATGTTTACCTTTAATAATAATATTATCGTTAATTATTGGATTGCACGGAATGTTCTTTATGTTGTTTATCCATATACATATATGTAAAAGTATTAGTATTTTTTTTCTTTTTTTTTTTTTTTTTTTGTATAACTGTATCGAATGAAGATATTATAACAAATCCTTTATACATTTTATTTCGTTAAATTCTTTTATTTGTTCCTAAACAATCCAATAATATTACGTTCCTACGTATTTTACCTTACCTCTCTATTTTCTGATAAGGGCTCGCAACTGGCAGCTAATTTTCTACGCTCTCGTTCCAATTGTCTGTTCCTATCATTGAGAACCTCGACGCTCTGGGGAGATAATCGTTCTCTTCGTTGCTCATAATCGTGCCTCTTTTCCTGATATCTTTTCTCTTGATGTTGATGATGATGATGATGATGATGATGATGTCGATCCTCTAGATTGTCATTATTGTTGTTCTCATTGGTACGTGTTCTAGCGTCAGCAATTTGAAGTTTCTTAGTTAATTCGTGGGATAATTTCCCGATCGATTCGACCGAGTGTTGATGCTGTTGGCTTGACTTTTCTTCTAATCGATGGTGAAGAGCGTCGACGCTATGGGATTTGGCAAGTTCGTGTGATTGTTGTTGTTGCTGCTGTTGTTGATGACTATTATGATGATGATGGTGATGGTGTTGTAATGGATGATGTGGCGTGACACGCAACAGAACTGGATCATCGTGATCCCGTGGAGGTGGCCAATCTTCTAAACGAGAGGTCGGAGACATCGTTCTTTTGTAGCTACCTTCGCTGTCAGGGGCGCCACGTTCTCTTCTATATGCCAAGTAAGAAGCCTTTGATTGGCTTCTGTAAAAAAACAAGACAAACGTAAAACTGGATTAGTCAGGATTTTCTCTAAGATTTAAATGTCTAACAATGTTATTAGATCTAACGATTTGTGCTTAGTGAACAATTATTTGTAAAATATAATTTTATTTTATTTTCTTTGTCGATTATTTTTAAATAAATAACACTTTTTAAATAAATGGAATAAAGCTTTTTGATAAATCTATAATTTCTACGATAGTACTCTTTTAATCTTTTATAAATTAATTTTTGTTAATCTCTACGAAAAATATACATTTTTTTTATAATTTATGACTTTAAAGCTACATAGTGTTATTTATTTGTTATGTTAAAATATGCACTGGAATGAATATACAATTAATCATAATTTCGATTTTATTTAAAATTATTTGAAAATTAATCTATTGTAATCGTATTTATCTCAGATATACATATGTATACATAGATATTACATTAGTTGAAATTATTTTTCATTCCACAATCTAACAGATAGGTGTAACGATTAAACAAATCAATGTAAGTTATAACATAAGTTATACTTGAAATTCATGTATGTGTTCATAGCATAGAAAGGATTAATAGTGCATCTTTTAATACAACATTAACCGTCCTATCACGTTTTTTGGTAAGCGGCTGTTGCCTTTGATTCCTTCTGTAATCTGGAATGCAACGACGTGCTCTGAGAATAAGATAGTCGTTCTTAAAACACAATTCCCATGTTCGTTCACGTAATCCAGAAACATGCGTTTACCGTGAGCTCATTTAAATAATATGTATTTTCAATCGCTCTTTCTATACAAATTCAAATCAAAATATATTATAAATGACATTATAATCATAGGTGTATATATATATATATACATAAATATGTATAATAAAATATCATTTAAATAGTATAATGTTTCAATCAAAATAATTGAATAATAATATCTGTCATGGATTTATTAAAATGCCAATTATGTGCATTCATTTCCGCACGTTGAATTATATGTTAACAAATTTTCGAGCTATTCACAAAGAAAACAAAGAAACCTATGGCGTTGGCAGGAGAATAAAAGGGTGCCATTGTTCGACGTGATGTTTGTGCACAACAATACAAATGCATTTCCGATGATTAATCGTTTGACAGTATTGATTAATAGTCGATCAAAACATCGACCGTAATATAAATCCGTGAGAGACCACGGGGTCTCGAGGCATCGACGACCGTATTAAGATGAAAAAGACGTTTTAATCGGTACCGGATATGGGATAGCGTAGCTGCATAGAATTTTAATTCATTCTACTATTCGACGTTCCCACAGATGCTTTTCCTTCTTCCGAAACGGTACACGAAACTTTCTGTACACGCACATCCATAATAACATTAATAATGATTAGAATGCATAATGTAAGTCGATAAATAAATTACTGGAATGAGTTGATTCTAAATAAATAAATAAATAAATAAATATATATATATATATCATTTTTAATGTTACGAGAACTATAGGAAGAGGATGTAGAAGAAGATTAGAAGAAATAAATATCGCTCTTTGCATATAAAAATTATTATTACTTAGGAAACATTAGAGATTTTTATCGAACGTTCGAATAAAATGAGTCGATAAATCGTGAAAGTAGCAAGACTGGATCGCCACTACTGGAATTAACGTTTTTTCTTTCTTTTTTTTTTTATTTTTTCTTCTTTACGTTTGTAAGGAATGCAGGACGATCATCGATCGTGCATATGAACGAGATCAAGAAGCCGTGTAAAATTTCTACGCTCGCGAGTAACGTCCGTTTCTCTTAAAAGCAAACCCTCTTTGACTGTAATCGCCCAGGTGAAACGAATACTTGCCATGCACGTATCCTCCCGAGATTTATCATTGCTGTTAGTGATAAGAAGAGATAAGTAGAAATAAGACAAAATTTAACTATTTTTTCTTTTTTTTTTTTTTTTTTTCAACAAACTTGACGTCCAAATGATTTAACATATTTAACGATGGATTTCCTATTAGAAAGATATATATTTAAGATCAATGTGAAATCCAGTTGCTAGAGAGCAAATCGATCATGATATAATTTCTCGTTCCTATGAGCCCAAATTAACTTCCATCAATTTGATCCTACATTTCCATTCCATTTCTTCCTTTTTCTTTATCCTTTCCTCTTTTTTTTGCTTTCTTTCTTTCTTTCTTTTTTGCCATTCAACAAACAACCAACCCGTCTTAATGGATTCATCTACAACCGATAATAAACAAGGATCGAACGTAATCTGTCGTAATTATCATTCGTCACGGACGGCTCTTTTCGTTCCTCTTAATAACTTCTTTATACACACGTGAACTCCTTTAATGATCTCGTCTATTATTTTTTTTTTCTTTTTTCTTCCTTCTCTTTTTTTTTCTGCCGTCCTGTTTCGTCCCCCGTAACGAAACATTCCACTTTCGTCTCTTTTCGATCTACGAAAGTATTCTTCCATATATGTACGAGAGGCTCTGGTGTTCTTCTTACGATCTCTCTCTCTCTCTCTCTCTTTCTCTTTCTCCCTCATAGCTTCGTTCGAACAAAGTTTCAAGAAAGTTTCTTAGGAAGGAAGGACGAAAGTAAAATTTGCGTTCGGATTCTAATCACGCGAAGAGGTCGAGACGTGAAATCGTGTCGGGCGGTGGTTCTACCTTCTTTGCAACATATACGTACATACATAAACACATACATTCATACGTATACATGTCTATACATACATACATATATACATATATTTCTTTTCTTATCGGCAAACTGGAAGAACCGTTGTTACACGTGCTCCGAAGGAAATCTATTCCAGACACGTCATTATACGCGCGCCGTCTTTGAAAGACATACAGGGACAGAACGCCACGTCCTTCGACGATTCCATCATTACTGGTGAACTGGTGGCTAACGAAAGAAAAACATGTCACCGAGTATATATATATATATATATATATATATATGTATATATATATATGGTCCGATGTTCTACTAACGGCGCCAGAGAGTAAGTAAGCTCTTGAGATGGCACGACGACGAAGTTTAAACGAGTCGTGCTAGAGAACTTTGTTTCTTTGCGCAATAACGTCTACTAAACGTTACCACGATCTGTTATATAGGGTGTCTCGATATTTACCTATCTTATTTGTTAACACATTAAATAGGTATATGCGACCAATAGAAAATTCCGTTTTTATTTGGTCACCGTTTTTATTGCGAATGAAAACAATATTAGGTAGATCAGATTAGCTTGTTCATATAGCTGACGTATATACGTGACGTTCATATACGTATTTCATAAAAATCGATACATTTCAATATTCTTGTATACATTATATCGTATAAAATGTATAAAAGAACTTTATAAAGGAACTTGTCTCCAATGAGATCACTCACTTTAAGTGCATAAATTGTATTAATTGATTAAAAAAATAATATATCTGCTAAATATTATAAATGTGTTGCAATATTAATTTTTTCGTTACGTTTTTCTGCTATGTTAAAATTGTTTTTTCTTTTTTTTATGATCCTCCTAATAAATTCGAACTTTTAATAGTTATGAATATAAATTAAGAAATTTCATTTAGTTTGGACCATTCTAAATGTGAATTTTAAAGATGTAAAATGTACTTTGCGTAATCGTCAAAAATAGCCTCCACGGCAAGAGATTAATAAAGTACAAAATAACCCGCATATAATACGTTAACCTTGAGGAAATCGCGTACTCCAACATTCATTATAGAATCGCCTTGTATCTGCAAGATACAATTATTCAAATATTGTGTTGCAAACTATTCGAATACATGACAAATGTTTCTTTTCATCGAAATAATTATAATCCATATTAAAAAAAAAAAAAAAAAAAAAAAAAAAAAAAAAAAATATCAATATTACATTTTGTCGGTCGTAAGAAAAATAATATAAACCTTAAAAAAGAATTTTTGCATGAATATATATCGAATTAATGGCGACCTTCACAGGATTAATATGTAGATAATAAAGATAAGAAGTATTTATCTTATTATACATAATCGTTCAATGAAAATAAATAAAAGATCCAAGTGTTCGTCGAAATCTTTTTTTTTTTCGTTTGTATAAAATCGACCTTTTTTTTGTTCATTTCGATAAAAATAAATTGAGACACCTTGTATATTTATCAACGATAATGTCATAACCAAGCCATAGAAAATTTTCTTCAATTTATTAACGAGTAAGTACTATTGTTAAGAAAGGGAGCAAACCTCGATCTAACGATAAGGATGAACGTTCGATATTGACCAACGAGTTGGAACACGGAATGGGAAGAAAGTGCACCTAAACACGATAATAATCTATCCAAAGAATACCTTATGTAATTTGCTTCGATGTTATGCAACGGGTATATATGCACGACACTGAAGTATATATATATATATATATATATATATATATATATATATATATACATATACATAATTTTTTAAGTATATAGAATTATGTAAGCGCGTGGTTAGAGATAAAAATATCAACCATCAGAGACCACAGGAGAGCGTTTCCTGTTAATGTATATTCGATATAATAATCTTTTCGAGATACGATCGATATTCTAGTATTAAAAGTGTGTCGCAAAGAAAAAATTAATTTCTCTCTCTCTCTTTCTTATTTAACTTCATTTACGATGAACACGAATGGCCGTATCTTTAAGAACGAGCATTAAACATAAATATCATTTCAATTTTCTGCTAACACACGAAGATTATCATCTTGCTCGATCGTGAAAGGAAAAAAAAGAAAGAAGAGAAAATAAAAAAAAAAAAAAAAGAAGAAAAAGAAAAAAGGAAGATAATGTACTATGCATTAAGGAAGAGTGGGCGACCGATTTGTATAATTTATCGGTAAGATGAACATCGTTCGACCGGTAGCAAAAGCATGTTACCAATACATCACTATAATCGATGAGCATACAGTTGAATTCGTATTATAGTATGTTCTCTCGAGTCTATCGTGTACCGAAAACTTTACGTACC